TCACAGTCCAGCTGGCCTTGGTGAGCTCCCAATAGATCAGCCCCACTGTCTCAGTGGGTGGGTGCACCCCCCGTGGTCCTGACATCCTTGCTCGTGTTCTCCCTCCTTCTGCTCCTCATTGGGACCTTGGGAGCTAAATAAGAAGGTGAACCCAAGAAAAAACATATAGTTATCCTCTTGGCTAAGGGAAGTAGATAAAATTGCCGGGGAGAAAATTGGGATCTTGGGGGTGGGGTGGGTTGGGGATAAGGGGAGGCAGGGAGAGAAAAGTGAGAAGGGGAGGATTGGGGGAACTTGGGGAAACAGGAAGATTGGGATAAAGGAAGGTTGGATAGGGGAGCAGGGAAGCACATGTCTTAGTTAAAAGAGCCACCTTAGTGTTGGCAAGAGACTTGAACCTAAAGTGGCTCCCAGGAGCCCAAGGCGATGTCCCCAGTTAGTCCCTTGGGAAGCTGAAGATAGGGAACCTGAAATGGCCCTATCCTATAGCAATACTGACGAATATCTTTCATATCACCATAGAACCTTCATCTGGTGATGGATGGAGATAGAGACAGAGACCCACACTGGAGCACTGGACTGAGCTTGGTTGCTTCTTATTGGCTAGGCACAGACAGGGCCTTTGACATCTCCAGGTAGACTCCAGTTTGGCTTCTTTTGGTCTGGTAGGCCTTAACTTTCTACATATCCACCATTTTTATTTATTAATTAGGGTGCTCAGTGGGAGCTAGAGTTCTTTGCTCAGTCCTGTTGACTCTGCCTCAGGAGAGCTCAGCAACTAGACTAAGCCTGTTTTAGATTGGCCTACCAGAAAAACTCTAACCTATTATTAACTACTAGCCCTAGAAGAGCATTCATTCCTGGAGAGCTGCCTGGGTGTGGGGAGTATTAGGCAGTAGCCTTTTGAATTACAATTAACCAGGCACGCAAATCTCCTTGCCCTCTCTTAGGAGTGAAAGGGTGTGAGGGTGAGTGGGAGGGATATGGGAGGATGGGGGGGAAGTGGAAATTTTGATTGGTATTATTTATAAAGTAAGGAAAGATTTCTATCATCTAGGGATAATGTTTTTGTTTAAAGTATTAAGATAAGGAAACTGAGGAATATTTAAGGAGAACTGAGGTTCAATACAGTTATCAAATATCACACAAATTATTTTTTATAATACCTGTTCTTCTACTTCCTGATGGACTTTAGGGGTTAAAAGACCAACCAGCTAAGTTCTCGACTAAATTCTGTCATATTTTCCTGTTTATTTAGCAGACATGTGAGTTGTAAAATATAATAACAAGACAAAATAATTATCAATATTTTGTTATCTAAGTAGAAAATGAATAAATATAACAACATAAAAAAATAAAACTTATACACATGGTTTAGACTCTTCACATCATCCGAAGCCCGATTTTTCCTGTTCCTCTGAGCCACCTTCTCTTTCTGACTTCTCAGAGCTGTGGCTTCCATTGGCTGCTCAGCTGGAAAAAAATCTGGATCACTAATGGTGTTCTTAACCTGGAACCTAGAAGCATAAGTCAGTGAACATCACTCAAGCCACATCACACTTATATAGGAAATGTCATCAGCTGCAATTTATACATTCTTCTTCATGAAATACTATAGATGTAGTTGATACTTATAAAACAAGTAATATGATATGCCATTATCATCCTTCTGTTTTGCTACCAGTTGCTTGTGCTAATTACTCACGTGTCTAGTTTATATGGTGCCTTATAGGTTCTTTGCATGAATAGTTGCTGCAGTCCGTGCAGCCTGGATAGCCGAGACTGGCGGGGGCTGCTGGGATCGAGACACAGAGGCTTCTTTTCAGGTGGAAGAACAGCAGCCTTTATTTTGCCCAGCAACCTTTTATACCTCTACTCCTTCTGTGGAGACCCACGGGCCAGAAAGAACACAAACATCCTTGTCAGTTGCAGACCACAAGGAAGTTCCACTGTCAGTTGGGGGAAGTGAGGGCAGCTGGATCACAACAACTCCCCCATTTTATTTTATAATACCTTGCCTGCCATGGGGAATAGCCCACTAATATTCCCTGTCTTATGTAGCATTCTGCCCCCAAAGTATTGCCCATCCGTGGCTACCCAGACACATAGCCCTAAACCAAGCATCCCCAGGACTGATAGTGCCAAGAAGCCAGTCCTGTACTGCAATCATCTAGCATGCACTAACTGGGTGATAAAATTAATGAAAGCAGTATTCCAAACCCCTCTCGTATGACGGTTGAGTTCCATAACAGTAGCAGAAGCATGCAATACAGTGCCATGAGTAACTCCTATAACATGATTAATTGTTCAAAAGTCCAAAGATAGTCCACTTGCTCCTGAACCAGAGCTACTTGTTGGTTCAAGGTCAGTATGCCCAACTGAATATGTCCAAAGCATTGCTGACTCTTTTCAGCAAGCTGGTTGACAGTTCAGCCGTCTGCACAGTCTGTGAGAGAGCAAGTCTGGCAGCAGTAGTTGTGGTGGCAAAGCTCTGCTCCAGCTGCCTTCTGGCCCCAGCCACACTCTGGATCCAAACTGCTGCATGGAGTGGAGCAGAACTCAGGGAAGCAGGCTTTCTGCTGCTGCTCTGGAACCATTGAAGGGGCCCTACTTTAACAATCTTTTAGGGAATTTGGGCATCATCAACCTGTCTGGCTACTTCCTGCTGAGCTGGGGTGCTGCACTCTTGGGAGTATTTTACATCAACATTTCAGGGGGTCTCGGGGTTGATTCAAACCACATAATTTTGCAATGAATCCACAGGTTCTCATTCTCTGTGGAGACAAAAGCAGAACCTCTTTTCCAAAGCATCAAATCCTTAGGCCTGCATTTTAAAGTCAAAATACCTTTCTTAGCAGTTCCCAGAATCAAATGTCTTTCTCCAGTCCAGAACACAGAAGACAACACAATCAACTCAATACATATCTCTACATATTGTATCTTTTGAGGCCCTCAATTCACCTTCCTGCCTCCTCTTTTTTGCTTCCCTACTGGCCAATCTGCCAGAGGGCATCCCTCAGAGCATCTCTGGGGATGAAGACACACATACTCCTTTTAATCTGACTTGGCTTGTTCCCAGTCTGGAACATTTAAACCCCCTTCTGTACAAAATCTTTAGCTGTCTTCCTTGTTACTTCTGTGCCTTGTTGCTTTAAGAGTTTCAGTTACTTTTTAATGCCTTTCAATTTACCCTCCCGCCTCTTTATACTTGCTTATCTTTCGGAGGATGTCCCTCAGAATTATCTCTGGAAATTAAAAATAAAAACACTTTACCTTCCCCAATAAGCTCTTTGATTTAGCCAGCGGGTTCTAGCGACCCTTTTCATGCACCCCCACTTTCCAGATCTCGGTGTAACCTCCACTTGCTGCAGCCAGCATAGCCTGGATAGCCAAGACTGGTGGGGGGTGCTAGGATTGAGACATGGAGGCTTCTTTTCAGGTGGAAGAACAGCAGCCTTTATTTTGCCCAGCAACCTTTTATACCTCTACTCCTTCTGTGGAGATCCATGGGCCAGAAAGAACACAAACATCCTTGTCAGTTGCAGACCACAAGGAAGTTCCACTGTCAGTCAGGGGGAGTGAGGGCAGCTGGATCACAACAAATAGTAAATATCATTTGTGTTTATAAAAAACAGTTCTACTGTATTCTTGACTTCACTCATCTATTGTTTTTTTTCTTTTATATGTTCCTCTGGGGAAAAAAAGTCTACTAAATTAATCCTCACTGTAAAACAATCACAAATTTCATCCCTTTGTGATCAGAATGACCACTATTAACCTTTGCCTTCTTGTTTTGAATAGATATTTTCTAATCACTGAGAAGAGATTCTATTTTTGAAACATGTATTCTACACATAAAGCAGTTGTATACATGCTATATATTCAACATTGAATAAATATCTTTCTTTTATCATCGCATCTTCATAACCTTGGGATATTATAGTATAAAAGGTTTTTATTTCAAGAACCAAACCTTTCTCTTGTTGGTGTCACAACTGTATGAATAATTGAAAATTTCTGCACTGTGGTTTAAATGAACTGATTCTCTCAAAAAGAGACTCCCTCTAAAGACATACAGAGTTTAACTGAGAAAAATTGAGTCCTAATATCTAAAAGACACCTAGATTATTGAACCATTTTATTTATAATCACAATGCAATTTTCATACTTGTTGAACATTGAATATTATTCTGTAAACATTTAACATACTTTGACTGGAAGCATAAGATTCTTTAAAAAGAAGCACAGGTGTTGAACATTTGTGTAAAAACTCATAGCAAAAACACTCTGCTGAGGACTTTTCCTTTCCCCCACCATTTCCCATCCCAATGGTGTGAAGTGGATAAATGTGTTACATGCAGTTGATGATAGCTTCCATAGGAGTCCCTGAGGAAAACAGTCTTATAAAGATAATGTCTAGAAAACCTGTCATAATCTTTGACTTAGGAAGGGATTGAACTTTTTTCTTTAAGGACAAAAACTATTTTGTCTTTAACTCTAGAGATTGATACATACAGTCTCTTTCAAAGATGTTGCTTACACAAATTCAATGAATAAGTAGAGAGGAGCATCTATGTATAAGTAATAACAAGCATAATTGAGTCAAGTAAATTTATTATTTATATCAGTTTGTACCACTATATATCACTGTTTGCTTCTGACAAAGGTTTCTAATGCATATACTTCTCCATCATTCACTTCCTGGAAATACATGTTGAGTGATTGACTCTCTCAATTTTCCATATATATATATAATTATAAGCAGTGCTTATAATTTCTATATATGGAGCACAGTATATCTGGTACAGGCCAGTATGTTCCACCTAATGGTTCAAAAATAAACAAATGAAGTTCAACCACAGATTACAGCTTACCTTAGGATGACAAATGGATTCTACATTAATTTATATGTTGAATTTTGAAGAAAATTAATGAACAAATTATTAGATAATATACAAAAATATTATCAAATCTTAGTACTTATATAATTACATGTTATTTCAATTTTTCATGCAGAAAAAAAGGAATTTATGTATAATGACAGAGTTATGATTCATAATAAAAGGGCCAAGTGTGGGGAAGCACATAGAAATCACGGTTGTGATGTTCATTAGCCACCATCCACTATTATATTCAAGAGCAATCCAACCCCGTAAGATAGAGGAGAGGGCATAGAAACCTAGAAAGGTGAACACTAGGATCAGGATGCTTTTAGTGGCTCTAGACTCAGGGGATACCCTGATGGAAACATGAGAGCTATGGATATATTGAACCCTTTGCTTGTGCCTGTACAGAATGACAACCATGGATCCACCAGACCAGGCAATAATCATAGAAAGCAAAATTTCAGGTAATACACAGAAAGCTGTAAACAACCAGCCTATGACTTCATTATAACCTACAGTGGAGCAATATTTTGAATCTCTTTTGAGTGTCTGATTTTTGCTGTCCCTTTTAATATACAAATACACAGGGAAAATCAAATTTATGACCATATATATGACCCAGCAGAGGGAAATGGAGGGTCCTATGAACTTTGGAGCTTTGACTTTCAGATCCTTCCAACAGGAGTCACTTGGACTGATGGTGACAGCCTGAAAGACACTCAAAAAACAGATGGTACCAACGGACATGTTTCTGCCAAGTCTTTGAATATACAAAAGAAGATGGCAGCCAAAATCACTGACAAGCCATTTCATTCCAAAAGCCTGTATTGTTACTAACATACCACTGGAAACAATGACCAAGGAGTTCGCTGTGAACAGATGTGTGAAAATCAAATCCTTGGTCTTTAACTTCTGATCAGTACAGTAATGGATGAGGTAGTAGGAAAGAAGAGAAAAATTTCCCAGAAATCCGATGGTACTCTGAAGTAAGAACACTATTCCAATTGCCAAATACTTGAGATTCATTCTGTCATTTAGCATCTTTTTGTATGAATTATTGCAAAAATCACTTGGTTAAGCAAAACAATTAACTGAAATTTCTATAGCTATAATATGGATGTGCCAGAATTGTTTGAGCTTCTGATTGCAAAGCCAATATGTATAATATACCAAATCACTGACTCAAATAAAGTTTAATTTGTAAATAATAATAACTCTTCGTAAGACTGCTGAAGTATTCAAGTGCACATCCTCAGTAAGGAATAAACAGGGTAAGAATGACAGTGCTTTTGTTGGATATAGTGCTTGGATCACGATGATGTCATAGCAGAAATATAAAGTAGAAAACAACTACTTGTAACCATTGGGTTAAGTAGTCATCTTACAGAATGGAAACTGTGATCACACTGTAGCCAATATTTTGGAAGTCTCTGTATTACTGGAAATAATATAAATTTACATTTCAATCTATGGCTTTGCCTTCAAAGTTTACAATCTATTCATAAAAGTTAATATCTCATTTTAGATTTCCCCCCACTTCCTTTACGAATACACAACCTTAGCTGATACTGACATGCTGCTATTCTCTGCAGCAGTGTAAATGAAAGATCAAGGAATTCACAAAACCCAGTGAAATAAATAAAATAGAAAAACTTAAAATACGTGTTTTCACATTGTAAGCCTAATTAGGCAAATCACAACATAGGTCAGCAATTATCCAGTCTCTAACAGGTTAACACTGAAAGGAACTCATCTTCCAACAATTTTACGTCATTCAGGAATACAGCAGAACATTATTATCAATGACACAGTTTTGGAGTTACAATGGTAAAATGCAGTTTTATATTTCTATTTTGTTGGTGGAGGACTTTAGGAAGGGTCTCACTTTGCAATGTATGCTGACCTGGAACTTTAAGCATATCTCCAAGTAATCCTCTGGGTTCCTGAGTTTGTCATAATCCACAAAGTTTTGTCTTTATTGTCTCTATTGAGTTTTATTTGTGAATCTCAATGAGTAGTTTATCTATGTATTCTACATAGGTTTTTTATTGTTGTTGTTAGACTACCATCCTTCACAAAATGTAATAAGAATTGTTGGAAAGGTTATTTAGATCTGATTGATATGAAGTTGGAGTCTCTAAAGAACAAATGTCATTTAATCGCAGGCACAGATCATGACATAATCATGAAAGATCCATGGATATATCTGTGATGCAAATTGTAAGTTTATTATGATGCCCATTAGAATGCTATCCAGAACCTTTGTGATACTTACTCTGTTGGGTGCACAAAGGCCCTTTCACCTACAGATCTCCAGGCAAGCCGTGTGATACTAAGTATGCAGGACTGTCTTTTTAATAGAAAAAGTGTAAACCCTGTTCTTCTACCAAGAAATTTGCCAACTGGAAGTCATTAATGGCCTGGTGCCCTACATTAGCTGTTGAACTATACCCTATTAAACTCTCACAAGTACATCAGAGGTATTTAATTCTCTAATTGCCACTTAATTGTATGTATAGCCATAGGCTCCCACATGAATCCACAAGAACCAGGAGGTATCTTATAGCTCAGATGACTTCTATGCTACCTGTTTGACACCAGACAAGATCCTTCTTTAGCCTCTTAAATTAACACAGGCATAATGTCTCTGGAACTCATCTTATTGGAAGAATGATATGTATCCTGAGTTTAGGTTCAATCCTATTAGCTTCCTTGTGCACCAGGGATTATAGTACATCAGAAATAATTTTTCCAAAACATATTGGGTTTAAATACAATGAAAATAAACCACCTTACATCAGATTTCCCATAGATTTTCCAGGATGACTAAGTCATCTGAAACAAAATTTTATTCTCACCACCTTGCATATTGCTGCCTGCCTTGACACCTGAAGACACTTCTTCTCTTATTGATGTTGTATAAAACTTAACAATGTTCAACAATGAAATAAAAAATGGAAGGATTTTTCCAAATAACATGGTTTTACAAAGGACATTTAAAAACTCACTTTGGTTTGGAGATTCTCAGGTTTACCTACCTTCAGTACTTGGCTTGCCACAGTGACAGGAGAATACTGTAGATCTGTGAGGACAGAAACAATTGTTCACAGTCATAGAAAATCACTCCAATATATGAGCATTCAAGAACTTGTAATCATCTTGAAATTTATGGAGAAGTGGAAAGAATTCTCCATATGTTAATCTGGTAGAAGGACTACAAACTTTATTCAGTGTAGAGAGGGAAAAGATAGGGGAAAGAGAGACAACTGTCTGGATCCCCGTTGACACTAAGAGACAGTTGGGCCTTTTCTGGTTACAATATCTGGACTCACTCTTTCAGGTTTCAGTGGCTAACACTTGATTCTAGAGACACAGGATTATTTACAAGAATGCACAATGTGGCCACATTTGTTACAACAACTGAAAGTATATTCTCACTGTAAGTACTTATTAAAGATTTTATTGAGTTTAGAGATTTCCTAGATTAAACTGAAAACTGTTAACAGAGTTGCAACTAGAAATTGCTACTTAAATCTTTTCACTTGAAAACTTATGATTTTGATAATTGTTTTGGGTAGACAGTTGCATTGTCTTCATTGTTGAGATAAGACCTGAGAGAAAGCTTAGGAAAGGACTCCCCAAGTTCCTAAAGGATTGTGCCAGTGAGAACACATAAGAAATTTGATCAAATATGAGTTGCTTTTTACATTCATATTTCTTTGTGCCCCACAAAGCTATGATAGCCATATTTTAAAGCACAAAATTGACGTTCAGTTTCTTTTCATAACTGGCAATCTTATACAAAGATTCTGGAACTTATTAAAATGCCATGCTCAAATTATACTTCAGTCAATGAGAAACTGCCTGTGGTTGATGAGGGCAAGACAAACTCAATATTCATTTTGGCATCAAATATGCTTCAGAGGGATCACACACTACTATCAAATGAAATACTTAACTTTATTACCTTGACTCTCACATATTGTTTAGGAAAATAATATTCAAAATAACAATGAAGCCTAAAAATTACCAGGTTAATAAAATAGCTCTAGTGCTGATGATTTTGCCTTGTGTATGTGACAGCCTTAGATTTGCTTATACTTAGATGTGCTTAGACTTGCACAACTAATAAAAATTTGTTTAGTGGCATAGTTATCATCCAAGTATTGAAGAGGGTGAACAGGTGGATCCTTGAAGTTCCCTGTCCATCTAGCCTTGAAGATACAGAGAGTTAGAATATCTCAAAAAATGAGAAACAAAACTCTGAGGAAAGACAACTGAGTTTCTCCTCTAACTCCACACAGAAAGAATCACAAGACACACACACACACAGATACACACACCAATGTACATAAACATATACATACTCATAAATACATACACATACATGCTCACTCAATCACAGACACAGACATTTATATACTTGCACGCACAATTCCTATGTAACACCCAAACACATTTACCACCCCAAACACAGATTCTTACATACTTTCTTTCATGTAAACTCACAAATATAATGGGAACTCAATGAAAATTACACATGTACCTTAACAGAAATAAACATAGGCACAGAGAAAATTTAATTGTGAATTTCAAGTTAAAGCTTATGTTTACTAATTCCTTGGTCAAGTAAACAATTGATAACATATCAAGATTTTGGAAAGGCACTAGACAAATATACATTTAGGGTATATCATCTAAACCCTATGAAATATCAAACATTGTAAAAATTCAAGTTAAAAAGAAAATGTAGCATGTTGGTTTAGGTCTGTGGTAACATCCTTATCTACCAGGAACAAATCTCTGGATTGCCTCCGTATCCTGCATTGAAAACTGGAAAACTCATACTGATGTTCCAGTGAGGGAAGACACGTTTGACTTGGGGTAGGGATGTGAATGACTTATAATTACATCAGTTTCACACAGTACTGTGCTCCCAAGTTCAAGATAGAAAGCAGCCTTATCAAATATGACCACTGACTTTGTGGAGAAATACAGGTCCTGCCCCATAACTAGATGTAATGCTGCCTAGAAACATGTTTACACAGCAAGCAGGTACTTTCCAAAATTAGATGATGTTTATTGTACCAATAAAATCTCTGTAGCTTTCCAGAATTAGATGATTTTATTGTATTAGATTATTTTTAGATTATAATAAAATCTTTATTATTCACATAAAGCTGTTATACCAGAATTTGTGTTGTCATACTGAACAATTTTGATTCATGTGAAAGATGTATAAATGTAAATTTCAGTTACATAGCTATAATCTTTTAACACCTTTAAATTCATATTTCATTTAGGCTACTCAACAATTACCTGAGGTTTTTTTTTATTATACTGGACAGATGGAGCATTTCTTAATGGGAGGAGGTACTTTTGTTAGTTGCTTATTAAGGCTCAGAAATTTTTATCATCTTTTGAATGAAATGTCTGTGCATTTGTACCCAACCTAAAAATTCATTTCCAGATATGAACACTTACCATATTTACCTTCTTTGCTGGCTCTGCTCCCTATATAGGACCAAATATTCACCTGAATTGTCTGTCTATGCTGAACTTTCTGCTTTGTGTGCAGCTTATGACATTCTGAAGTTCCGTCTGTGGAACACATAGGTAGCACAACTCTGAGATAAATGTCTGAAGCTCTGTGACCTCATCTCCCTTCTGAACTGCAGTTTTCATGTCAACAACAGTGGCCATGACAGTTCTTGCTTTGGGATAATTACCAACGCTGGTTAGAAGTTTCTTCTAAGTGTCTCCAAAGAGGCAAGTTTCTCATAGATGTTCTTATATTCTCATGACCCCTTAAAGACAACAGTGGCAGGGGATGTAAGTCATATAAAAGTTTCATGTGTGAGAATCTTGCAAAGGCTTTTGTGTGTTTCCTTGAACTCCAAATTTCTCTGGGTACATATAAATATAAATAAATGGATAAATAATGATCTGATCCAAGTTGCACCTGATTTTACAGCACTCACCAGAACAGAGTTAGTCAGGAATTCGGGGATAGCTACTGAAGTGTC